TCTCGCAGTTCGCGATGCCCCCCCTCTGGCGGGGGGTGCTGCCGGGGATGGGGGGGGTCGACCTCCCTTGGGTTTGGGATCCCACGCAGCGGCTGCGGCGACAGGCCGCGGGGGAGCTCGTGGGGTTCCCGATCCTCGTCCTCGAGGCCGCCCGTGGGGAGGGGGCGGTGTTTGAGGTCTTTCTCGATCGCGAGGAGATGACGTATCGGGTGGACGACGGCCCCCCCACGCCGCCGGGGAAGGGAGGGGGGGGGGATTCCACGCCGTATTACTTCAATTACGGCGCGACCGGCCTGCTTCGGTGCGACTACGACCTCGCGTCCTGGCGGGCTATTTTCCAGCACGCCGCCTGTCTGTGGAGTCAGGATCATCTCACCATCACGGCGACTCTTTCGGCGCTGCGAAACGTCCTGGTGGGGCGATTTCCCGACGAAACCGACGGCGACCGCTGCACGCTGATCTGGGAATGGCTGCGCACCCTCACCGCGATGCCGCACGCGATGAGTTGCTTTGTCTGGGATCTCATCACGACCTGTGTGGAGGAGCTGGTGTACTTGGTTCAAGGGCACGACTGTAGCCAAGCCGTGCATCAGTTTGTCGAGGACTTGTACGTCCCGCTTCTGGAGCGGCACCAGATTTCCTTCTTCGCCACGGAGGACCCTCTAAACTTTCAGGCGTTCCAGGATATTCCCCGCAGAACGGTCACGAAGATACTACGTGTTTTGGCGCTGTGTGAGAGCTCGTTTCTGCACGAGGGGGCGACGGAAATGGGATTTAGCGTGTTAGACGTTCTCGGGCTGCGAAGCCTTCGGGAATCGATGTTCCTCACCACACCCGCTGGCGCGCGGTCCGAGGACGCCGCTGGGGGTGGTGGTCGGGGCGTGGACCTCAAGAACAGCGCCCACGTCTCATCCGCCGCGATCGCGTTCTTCTGCTTGGTTTCCCGTGAGCCTGCTCGATGGTGGAGTTGCGTTACCGGCATCGTGGCGGCCATTTGCGGCCTTGATACCGAACCTCTGCAACTAAACATGCAGCTTTGCATTCCGAAAGTTAAGATTTCATGTAGTAGCGTCGTTGAGGTGCTTCTAGTCGTCCTACCAGCGTTTTTCTCGATGAGGGATGCTCGCGCTTTCCATTTTATGTCCGATGTCCTCAGCATGTTCTCCTGTTTGTCTGACGCGGTAGCGCAGATCTTGCTATGGAATAGGCATTTCCTTATATTCATTCTAAGCCATCGCCACGCCGCGCTGAAGCCTCTTGTTGTGCAAATTTTGGTTTCGCTCGGTACGAAGCTCTGCAGCGATCGTCGCGTCGTCACGTTGCTTCATGCACTTTTGACGTTCCAGAAGGCGGGCATGGCTCAGTTCGAATCACTCCAGGCACTACTGCTAGAGGAGAGGAAGGAGGAAACTACAGCAGTGATGGACGATCTCAAGGACGCGAGCCCTCTGTCGGCAGAGATGTTGGAGGATTTAAGAGCCATGACCGTGAACTGTTTGTGGATAGCATACTCCTGCACACGCATCGAGCAATTTTTGCGCAGGAGACCTGGGCGGAGTCCTTAGGATTTTCTATTTTTATACCCCCCCTCCTTCCCCCCAGGTGACTGTACCACTTAGTCACCAATTCTTCGACTGATAGTGTCTACAATTTTTCTGAAAAGACTTTAGTTTTTAGCGTATTGATAGGATATCAACGATAGTGAAAAATTTTGAACAACCTTAAGTTACCTCTTATCTGCTTCTATAGGAATACGAGGAGCCGCACGTTTTACGTTGCTTAGATCGTGCTTTTCCTTCTCCTACTACTTGGTCACCCTGCACGCGGAGACGGATTTCACGTGAGGGGGTTATATCCATTCTCATTTTACGGATTTAATTCTTGACAAGCATGTAATGTATGTTAGACGATCCATATTTATCGAATGTTCATAAACTTAATCTCAGGTACCCGTGTTCTTACACACTGTTATCAAAGTATATTTTTCCCTATGATTTTAATGGTAGGAAGCTAGAGGGAGCTATGATGTATGAGAATTGAGCGATAAAGAGCTTTTTTTTGCATTAGGTTTCTTTTTAAGCAATAAACTGTGTCTACCGAAGGAGATTCGGTTATCGCATTACCACAGTGCATCCTACTTTAGGAGTTTTTTTCCCTCTTCTTGTTTGCTTAACTTGCAGCCTTCTCTGATTCAAAGGTGTTCGAAATATTCGTAGTAATACAGGCCCTCACACTTGCATGCGCATTTAAGGAAGCATTCAATTTGCAGGAGTGTAGATGTTTCAAGTAGAATTTATTTTGATTACTCCAAGAATCGTGACTTCTGCTGCCAAGTATACACTTCTATGCTGCTTTTATTATTTTGACATATTCTTCACCGTCTGACCTCCCATTGTCTGACTTCTCTACTAAGAGCCAATTGATTTGGCTAGGTGGGCACTTTAGAGCGTTAACATTCTTCTTTTTTTTTTAGTATCCCTACAGCACCAATATTAGAGACTTAGTAATTGTGCAAGTAGGGCCTTTTCTCTAATTGGCATCAATACTTTTTCACCATTGCGCAAGTTGAATATTTTTTCTTGAATCATTGTTGATCTTCTAAACCTAAGCGCTATGCGGGATCCGAGTCTTCGGCTTTTCACAAAGCCGCATAAGGAGCGCGAAAATTTCCCCCTCATGAAGGCACAACCTTTTTTCTTCTTCGCCCTTTTCCTTGGTCTTATGACCGATGTAAACGTGACAGACTCCTCGCTCAGCACGACGATCACGTCTTCCTACAACCCCTCGGCGCTACAGCAACTCGCCACGTTTGCGGACCTCGAGGCTACCGCGGAGGAGGAACACCTCGGATGGGGGTCGTTCGCCAGCCTTGAGGCCTCCCCCCGCCCCGACCCCTGCTTGCGATCGCAGTTGTTGCAGCCGAGTGATCACGATCGCGGCCTCCAAACCCCTTTTGCTTCCTCTTTTCCATCTCAATCTCTTCCTCCTCCTCTTCCTTGTCTTTGGGAGCAGCTCGACGTGATGGAGGCGGCCCGCCTCACACACGACGAGGGCCTCCTCGACGCCACACGGCGGCTTCTCCAGCAGGGGATGTTTTCCGTCATCTACCGCTGCGAGTTAAGAGTGAGAGAGGGCAAGGGGGTGGGGGAGGATGCCGCGGGGGGACGTCATCACTGGAGCTGCGTGCGCTGCCACCACTCACATCCAGTGGTGCGGGAGAGCTGCACCCGTTGTGGGGCTCCAAGCGCGTACACCAAACTGTTTTGTGGGCAAATCCCGAAGGAAATGCGGTGTGAGGGGTACTTGGCGATGCTGCTGCGGGCTACGCACCCGGAGATCCCCATCCCCCGCATTGAATGCCACCTGAACGGCTCGAAGCGGGGGAAGGGATGCGCCTCGATCTACGTCTACCACACCCACGTCCGGGAGCTCGAAGCGAAGCTGCACCACAATGTCTTTTTCGACATCCTGCATACCGACCCCGTCGGCGGCGGCGCCGCACTGGTGGCGTACTACGTCTACACAGAGCAGCGGCAATGGCTTCAGGCGTTTGCGGCGGTGCGCGTGGCGCAGGATCCGTTTCGGCCCTCGTATCTACCGCGTGGTTTAATGGTGATGGAGGAGGCTAAAAATACCACATTACGGGGTGCCACCCTAGCGACGTGTCCACCCCGCGAGGTGTACTGATGGCCTCGCCATATTCTGTTCACTTTTCTACGCATTTGGGGTTGTGAGAGGCAACACGCGGCGCGGTAGAGGGGTCCGATAGGGCAGGTGGGTGATCACACTCGTTTGAGATGTATCAAACGAGGTGTAAGCTGTTCTTATTGATATACACACACACACACATATATATATATATATAGATAAATACATATAAATGTTTGTATAATTTTATTATTATTTCAACGATGTAGGTCCAAATGCTATTAAAGTAGAACCATTTCAAGTGAAATGAAGCTCTTTCTCATAGCAGGTCAATTATTCGTCTGTTTATTTTTATCTTATATAACTACACACATATCCATACAATGGTATTGTGGGGTAGGGAGGGTTTTTGAATAACGAAAGCAGTCTAAATCCATTGATAGTGGACTTAATGGACCACTATTGGGGTCGTTGCTTTTGATTGGCTTCCCAGAAGCACCGTTCAACGGGTTGATTCTGGTCAAACAGTTTCGTGTTGCTTTTTGTTTTTCACTAACCACCATTTCTTTATTTTTATTATTATTTTTCGAATGATCCCAAGTTTGTGCGTGTGCGTGCTCGCGCAACCAAGTAATTAGTTCACGTACGAAGTGAAAGTATCATAGAGTCCATCCACGCGATGTCTGATGCAACCTCCGCTAAGCTCGTTTCCAATGTAGTGTATCTTCAGCGCACGAGCCCCAACTTCGCGGAGTTTTGCGTCGCCCACGTCACCAGCCCCAGCCATCAGTTTCTCTACGCGGCGGAGGATACCCCGGAGAGGCGGCTGTACCTCAGGCTCCTCGGGGAGGCGCGGCGGAGGGGGGAGGGGAAGGAGGAGGGGGATGCCGCGCAGGCAACGAGACGTCTGTTTCGCCAGCGGACCTCTGCCGCGGGGGTGAGGGGCGACGGCTTCTCCCCCTACGACGTGCGCGTCCTGTGGGCGGCCCTCCACAACCGCGTCGTGCGGCCCTTTGGCGACCCTCGCCGTTCCTCGCAGGTGGCCTCAGCCCCCCGTGTGAGGTCCTCCACCGCGCTGCAGCTCAGCCCCTACGTGCCGCTCACTTTTTCATCGCCGCAGGAGCTGCAGCAGTTCATGATGGACGTCCTTCACGCCGCCGAGAACCCTCAGAGGGAAAATGTGGAGGGGATTGCGGAGTTCATGCTGCGCCGCTTGCCCATGACTGAGTGCTTTCTCCTTATCTTGGCGTACCTTGTGGAGGAACTTTTGGAGTTTGCGCGTAGGCGTTACCCACCACAGGGGAGCCTGCAGGCCTTTTCTCCAGCCCCTCACGTTGGGTTTGACAGCGATGAGAAAGCGGCAGATCCTCCACTCAAACGCATGCGGCCTGACGAGCGTGCTACGGCGGCAGCAGGAAGCGATGAGGCTCTCATAGAAGGGGGATCTCGAGACAACATCGGTGGGAGTCTCGAGAGCGCGGAGGTGAGAGAGAAATATCAGGAGGCTAACTTTTTCCTGGAAGCGGCCGGGACCGTACTTTTTATTACAGCCATGTTGTTTGCACGACATCGTGATCGTGAGGCGCGGTTTCCAGATCTTTGTGCTGTCGTGCACCCCAGCAACACCCCACAAGCGTCGGCGGCTGAGCAACAGGAAGGCTTGCTCTGCCAGCGCGCGTTCGATTATTATGTGCTTCGCATGGTACAGGCCTTTGCGCGTGCTTCAGAGGCGATGCGCCGTGATGCTAAGCATAGCTTCCCCGTCTTTGGGTATGTTGCCGATACGCTTCAGGTGTGGCTGGTGGATCGCTGTTTTCCTAGCGAGGACGCCAGAAAAAAAGCCGAGTCTATACTTGGAAGGATGTCGGCTATTTCAGAGGGCAGCGTTGATAAGGCGAGCAGCCATGTCTGAGTTGATAGGCTTGCGAAAAATGGGCTTTGTAGTTTCTTCTTTAGCTTCATCCCTCTCCTCGTTTAGGTGGGTACATGGGGTCGGGGGGAGGGGGGGACGGTATCGCCGACCGAGTGCTTTCTGTGTAGGGTGACTTCGCCAAGCTGAATGGAAGGACGGTGATATCTTGTTTAAGAAGGCAGCCTATAGGTGTTTGTGAAGGTGTTTCATTGCAATTCTTATGTTTTTGATGTCTTTTTATCGATCCAACTACCATATGTGTGACTGAAAATCAAATTCTTTTAGGTTTCCCTCTCTACCAGGTTTTCACCACTGAAGCCCCCTTCAAGTTTCTTCACTTTTGTTTCGTTTAAGGTTTCATCTCTGACGCACTTATTCACACCCACATTTGTACCCGTTTGACTTCCACTATGTCGTGCGATGATTCTAACGCTGTAGCTGTACGTGGCAACGAGGCCAGTGAAGCGAAAGGAACCACGAAGGATTACTATTTCGACTCCTACAGCCACTATGGGATTCACATGGAGATGCTCAAGGACTACCATCGGACAACCAGCTACCGGGATGCGATATGGAAGAACGCGTACATGTTCAAGGACAAGGTCGTGCTCGATGTCGGTTGTGGGACGGGCATTTTATCCATGTTCGCGGCTCGCGCTGGTGCTCGTAAGGTGATCGGCGTTGACTGCAGTAGTGTGGCCGTGCAGGCTCAAGAAATCGTGAAGGACAATGGCTTCGACGATGTTATCACGATCATTCAGGGGAAGGTTGAGGACCTGAATCTGGACGAAAAAGTGGACATCATCATCAGCGAATGGATGGGTTATTTCTTGTTGTATGAATCTATGCTCAACACAGTCCTGTACGCTCGAGACCGGTGGGGCACGCCGGACGTGAAGATACTCCCGGACCGTGCCAATATGTACGCCTGCGGGATCAAGGATCCGCAGTACAAGGAGACAAAGTTTAACGTGTGGGATAACGTCCTCGGACTAGACTTTTCGTATTTTAAGCGATTGAGCTACATTGAGCCCTTCGTGGATACTGTTGAGCAGGATCAGATCATAACGGACATCGTTCAATTCTTTTCGTTTCATATCAACACGGTGAAGGAGGAGGACTTGTCCTTTGTGAGGGAGTTCACCTTAGTGGCACGGTGCACGGAAAGTTTGGACGCGATCTCCGTGCATTTCGATACTCCCTTTGGTGCAGGCCATGAGCTCGTAGTGTTGGAAACTTCACCACTATTGCCGCCCACGCATTGGCAGCAGACCGTCCTGTTTTTGTATCACCCGCTTCAGATGGAGAAGGGAGAAAAGGCGGTATTCACGATTTCGTGCATGCCGAACACAGGGAACCCACGTGATCTCGATATATCACTTCACGTGGATTTTGACGGGGCTTTGCAGTCCTGCCATTACGACCAAGAATTCCGTCTTCGATAGGTTGTAGTTCGTGTTTTTTTGTGAATGTAGTGGGGTTCTTTCTTTATTGAGCCGCTGCTTTTTAGCTTCCACCTTTGAGCGGCTGTGAACTTTTGATGAGGTCTGTAGTCAACTACAACAACGCTCTGACTGCAAAGGGAAAGAAGCATGGGGGCATACGTGAAACCTATGGGTTGTCAAGTAGGAATGAAAAAATAAGATGATTTCCTCATTATTTCTTGCCCTATGGTATTAAATAATAACTTGTTAAATAATTAAGTAGCGGTGCGCGCACATTAAGGGGCGAGTGATAATAGCTAAATCGTCGACTAGGTGTATCCAAATAAACCCGAGTCTGCGGTTGTAGGTTTCTCTCTTCACAAACAGACCGGCAAGCTCTGAACGCTAAAAAAAATGATGTTTATTGTTGGTGTATAATTTAATCTCCCTTATTCTTAGCGCTTCCTGTTTATATTTCATGTCATAAAACGTATTAGTTAGATAGTTTTATCACTCTTGCTCCAACAACATATTTATTTATTTATTTATTTTGCTTTTAAACCCGACTTAGATCCCGTACGCGATCAAGGAAGGGGCCAATTTTTTCCATCTTCGTCTCTGTAAAGGCGATTTTGAATAACCACTATCGGTAGCAAATATTCAATTTGATTGGATTCGAGTTATCTAGGCTTCCAGCGCCCGGAAAGATTGAGCAGACTCACTAGGGTCCGGCAAGGCAAGCGACCTGTAGTCAACCGCCATGGATGTCGGCACGCCCGGGAGGAATCTCGTTTTCCTCCACGAGGTCCAGGCCGTCCCTCGGCACCCGTCGATCTACAAACCCCCCACCCCGCGACTGCAGCCGCCCCAGTCCAAGTCAAACTCCTCCTACATCGCGAAGTCCAACGTGGACTACGAGCGGATCCGCCTCGGCATCCGCGACTCCCCGCGGTCGCAGCT